TTGTTCTGATTGGTTGCTCAAACGCTTCGAAGCGTTTGTAGCGTCAAGTGGACCGCAGCCCCAATCAGCGTGAAGAAAACTTCCAACAGTTGCAAAATAAACGTTCTGCTGGACGCAGCCAATTGCAAAAGACATTTGGCGCTGGCATCGCTGTATGGTTCGTTTTCATTACGCGACCATTTCAATCTGTGAATTCGATGTCGATCACGTTTCTTCCCGCTTCCGTTTCCGAAAGCTGTGTACGATTTTTTGCAGATTTTATAATTTTCAGTTTATAAATCTATTTAATCTACCAAAATCGAGAAATACATTTAAAAAATTGTAACTTTTTTAACGTATTATTATATAGAATTACACTTTCTTATGAATATTATGCATAAGTCTTGAGAAATAGTTTTCTTCACGAGTCTAACCTCAACAAATAATATGCATGTATAACAGCGGCTTGAAGTAATCAAATATTGTTACAGGTAGAAATAAATAAATCCATAAGATGGCCAAGTCCAAGAATCACACAAATCATAATCAGAGTAAGTATATTTTATAAATAAATATTGTCAGTAGATCTAGTAAATTGAATTTTTAAATATACACTGCCGGAAATTGAAATCTCAACACCATGAAGGAGTTGTGCTAGATGAATGAAAGTTATAGAATGTTTGTTTACATGAGTTATTATATTGATATTCTGTTACAAGTGGAATGCCATTCCACAAGATAACATCCAACACCTCTACGATCGGATGCATGCACGTTTAGAGGCCTGCATTCAACATAGAGGTGACTACAGTGGATATTAAGTCGGAATATACTTAATGTTTATATGGCGCTACACTCATATCCTGCGAATTGTGACCTTGTAATAGATATCAATAAAATAACTCATGTGAACAAACATTCTGTGTAACTTTCATTCATTTAGCACAACTCCTTCATGGTGTTGGAATTTCAATTTCCGGCAGTGTAGTTGTATGCAATTTTAATATTTTTTTAGATGGTATTACATATATAAATGTAGTAAATGTATTTAATCTACAATATATTATAAATTGAACATGTAAATTATTGTTGCTGAACTGTTAATTTTTGTATTTTTTTCAGACAGAAAGGCACATCGAAATGGTATTAAAAAGCCTAAGAGATATAGGCATGAAAGCACACTTGGCGTAAGTTTTATTAAAATATATAGTCTATTGTACATTATACATTCGTTTCAGTATTTTATTTTCTATAATCTTTAAGAAGTAAAAGAAAAAACATGTAAAATATAGTGTGCGGTGAAATGTTCAGTAGATAATACACTAAACATGTATCTTCGATATTTAAAATAATTCGAAATATTTAAAGATTTTAATGATATTCATTCGTATTTTATTGATTCTACATGTACCTTTTATATGCATGTATTTTTATATGCACTTTATAGATGGACTTGAAATTCTTGAGAAATCAACGCTTTGCGAAGAAACATAACCTGAAACCGAAGGCCCAGTTAAAGAAGGCAGAACAACGAAAGGCTCTTCGTGAAGCTAAAAATAAAAAATAAATTTAGTGTAAACTAATGACTCTATTAAAATAAATAAAAAAACACATTGAAGTAAAAAATCAGTTTTTCACCCATCTCTAAACTTACAATATTGGTGTATCTCAATAGATAAACCGTCAATTTTTTGTAAAGGAATAAGTGTGGATAAGTGTGTGATAGGAATAAGACTCCAAGTGGAATCGTACATTCAATGTCTTTTTTTATGAATGACGGCGCTTACACAGCTTGTACCTGCTTGTACCCATAGTGTACCGTGCTTATACCATTACATGTCAATATGGCCACAGAGCAGGCAGTGGAGGCGCGCGACGTCACGAAAATCGTGAATAATTCGACGAAACCAGAGAGGATTTTATTGTTTAGTGGCAAAAGGAAATCTGGAAAAGATTACATTACTGATATCTTGTACAACAGGTACTCCATCAATATTTTAAGATTATTTGTAGATAAAATAATGTAGAATGGCATTACTCAGCAGAAAACTGAACATTAACATACGAAAATGTCAAATAAAATGAAGCTATATTAAATGTCAAATAAAATGAAGTTATATTAGAGATACATTTCTATGCTTAATAATTGAAGAATTAATTGTTATTAATCTGATATAGTTAATGTTTTTCCTAAATAATAATATAATTTATTAATATAATTTTTTTTACAATAATTGTTTACATGATTTTTAGAATAGGTGCACAAAGGAGTACAATTATACGCTTATCAGGACCTATAAAAACACACTGGTCAAAATCTCTGGGTCTCGACATCAATCAATTACTGGGACATGGGGAATACAAGGAGAAGCATCGATTGGAAATGGTCAAATGGGGTGAGGATATAAGGAGGAAGGACTATGGATACTTCTGTCGTGCTGCTATTGATATGTATAATGGTAAAACAAAACTGAAGAATCTTTTATTAAAAATTACAGTTGATATTTATATTCGGTTCTTATATTTAATATTGTTTTAAGTGATGTTAAATATATTTAACATCTTTTTATGATTCTTAAGCACAGTTTTAAGACATCATAAGTCAATCACAGAACTGTATTAGTATCTTAAGACATTACTTAAGACAGTCTTGAAATAAGAACCGATTATGGCTGCATTTGATTTGTTCTTTAAGCACTTATAATCATCATTCTGTCTTTATAGTTCATTAGATGTAGAATAGAAGTGCTGAAAGCATCCAAACTGAACGCTTATGAATACTGGTCTAAGCCTGTATAGACTCAATCGCAATGGAAGGAATAAGGATTAACAGATTTCAATTTATTAGAAATCGGGTACACTGGAATTCTGATGGGCTGAAATCTGTTATATGTATATGTATAAAATATATGTATACATATATAAAATAAAGAAAAAAAATATATATATATTCCTTTTGTTCCTTATTTCTTTCATTGTGACTAAGCTGTAAAAGTGTTAATTTCTAGAGATATTAATTTTTATAATATATATAAATATACATATATATTTTTCAGCATGGGACAAGCCAGTGTGGATAATAAGCGACATCAGAAGAAAAACTGACATTAAATGGTTTACAGAAAATTTCGAGGATGCATGTAGGACTGTACGTATAGTTTGTTCCCAAGAAATTAGGCAGAAACGTGGCTGGGTTTATACACCAGGTAATAACATTATAACATAATCATAATTTTAAGGAACTGTAAAAACTCGATCTTCAGGATAATTTAATCGTTGCAGGCATAGACGATTCAGAAACAGAGTGCGATTTGGATGACATAAATAATTGGGACATTGTGCTAGAGAATAATGATAGCAACATAGAAGCTATACTGCAGCAGTTGTTAGGCCTCATTAGCTAGCAAAAATTTCTTTTTATCCTGTCAAATGTGCTGTAAACATTTCGCAATTTTTTTTATTCTTTCCTTGAAAAAAAAAATGTATCATAATTTGATGATAATTTTTATGCAAGAATATTCTAATAATATGTATATGGAAAGTCTCGCTTGACAGTAAATTTTACGTTTTAATTGTTTCTTATCTGCACGGTTCGCTCTGTGCACGTACATTTTTTTAGAAGTTAGAGATACTTTAGAATTATAAAAAAGAAATGAAGATCTAATTCAATAAAATATAATACAAAAACATGCGCTGTCTTATAAAAAAGTAATTCGAGAAAGGGCGTAAAATGGCATCTTTATTTTTGTTTAATCTGTACTGTGTGTGTATAGTAGAGATCATTATCTCACGAAAAGTGTATACTAAAAATAGATTAAAGCAAATCGGCAGGAGTATTGTTTTTAGAAGACGAATCCTTTTATTCTGCCTATTCTACAATGAGTGAGCGTCGTTGTGTGGCGTAGTTATAAGAATTGACCAGTCACAGTTGAATATGAGGAGAATATTCAACAGTGATTGGCCAATTCGTACAACCACGCTTGCGCACTTTATGCGATCGACTTGCGACTATATAAAAAATTTGTATTAAATATCAGCTATGTACGGTAAGTAAGGTTAACTCCTTAGAATGTAATTTTTGAAGTTATGTAAGTTATAAATATTATGTAAGCGATATTTATCGATTTTGCAGGATAATTTTTAATCAAGCGCGTACATCGTGTCAATCAAGACGGAATATATCCACGAACGTACCACAACCGTTGGGGTTAAGTCAATGTAAGCAATTACTATTTGTTTTATGTATTATTATTTGTCATTTACATTTGTACAAATTTACATCTTTACTAATTTTATTAATTTTTATTTTTCATGCTAAATTTTTGGTGTTAATTCTTATATAGTGTACTTTTTGCTACCATCCACGCACAATTGTTAGTAATAACAAGGGTCTCGATGGAAATCAGTTGCCACTCTAAAGACCATCGAATAGAATAATGGAACATAAAATTCCATCTGGTATCCTCGACGATCTCAGCAGGTCGGTTTCTATCTAATTATACTAAATATAATGAGAATAATAATATATTTAATAGAAAACAATAACATAATTAAATTTCATGCATTTGCATCATTTTATAGCATAATCGTTTTTATTTTTATATAATATTTTGTATTATATTATTATTCTGCAGTCGATTCATCATCAATGTACCCGAGGAGGAGAGGAAAGATTTGGTGCGAATTTGCTTTCAAGTCGAATTGGCACATTGGTTTTACCTTGACTTCTACTGCACAGAGGAATATCCTAAACTGAGATCATGCGGCATGAAAGAATTCGCCACTCATATATTTCAACACATACCATTTTTGAAACCACATGTGCAGCACATTGATGCTGTGCTCGAGCAATGGAGAGAGTACAAACAAAATGTACCGACGTTTGGGGCAATTGTGTTAAATGAAGATATGACTAAGGTGCTTCTGGTGCAGAGCTACTGGGCAAAGAATAGTTGGGGCTTTCCTAAAGGAAAAGTAAATGAAGATGAGGAGCCGTTTCATTGTGCTATTCGAGAAGTGTTGGAGGAAACTGGTTTTGATATATCTAATTTGATAGATAAAAATGAGTACATTGAATCTACAATAAACGATCAAACTGTGAGATTGTACATTATTTCGGGTGTGCAAAAGGATACAAAGTTTCAACCAAAAACGCGGAAAGAAATAAAGAATGTTGAATGGTTCGCTGTAGCGGATTTGCCCAACACAAAAAAAGATATGACCCCTAAAATGAAAATGGGTGTTAGTCCAAAAGCATTTTTTATGGTGGTACCGTTTGTCAAGTAATTATTTGCTATTTTCTATAAAATCCATATATTTAATGAAAAATTGTGTTACATGTTTGTCACTCTTTTGTCCAGGCGGATAAAGCGGTGGATTCAAGAGAAACAGCAACGTGAGAGAACCGCCATTGCAACTGTACGAAGACAAAGGCATAAATCGTTGGGAGATGTTGAAACAGTTTCAAAGAGCAAACGACAACAGCACTTTTCTACCACAGCGTCGCTTTTCCACCACTTTTCTACTTGTCCACCACAAGTAAATATCATATCTTATGTGTAATTCTTTTTATGTTATAATCTAAACTTTCATATACATTGTCACATGCTCCATTTACAGAGCGAAGTTCCTGATTTTAAAGTTGGCCGTCAATCAAACACTTCTCCGGCTCGCAATCGCCGTGGTGTAAATGACAATAAGAAAGACGCGTCGAAGACAGCGTTTAAACGAAATCTATTTGGAGACCAAGAGGAAGATCAATCACCTCTTGTTAAGCAGCTAATAGATAGTCCTGCTCAATCGTGCTCATTTCTAATTGATCCTGCGATTCAGTCGATCAAATATAATGACTTTAGTTACAAAGCGCAATCATCGGAAAAAGAAGTAAAAGGTACACTACGTTTGCTTATAATCTAAATCTTACTTCTACTTAATTTGAGATCTCGCTTAAAACATATCACAAATAATGTATTTAACGAGATATCTAAATTATGTAAAGGGTGTTATATCTTTTAATATAAACGTTAATAATATAATCCAATATTGTTATGATATTATTTCGAAATTGATTTCTCTCTTTTAGATTTTCGCAAGAAAAGTCTGCCAGAAGGAAATATCAAGTCGATGCTGTTCGGAGAAGCTGCGCGCAAATTGCAAAAAGATTTTCAAATTATTCCGCCGATTCCTTTCGTAAGTCTGGGACATGATAGTTCACCGCTTTTAACGAAGAATTACAAACAAAATTATCCTACCTTCGATTTTCGCGTAAAGACTTGGGATAATTTCTCTTTTGATATCCAAGCGATATTAAAAGTTCTAAAGTAATCATATATATAATTTGAAAGAATGGATTACCAACATAAGAGAAGTGCAGATATCGAATTAGATTCGATAGCTATTAACTTCATCTATGTTACTTTTCCTATCTTTTATCTTTGCTGGTCAATAATAATGCGCGTGTGTAATTATGTTACATGTACGATAATGTACCTTTGTGCATTATCATACATATTACGTAATATTGATAAAATTGATATTGATAAATTTAAAGCTTCAATTCACTCATCACTACTACCTCAGATTACGACATCAGAAGCAAGACTTACAAAAAGCTTGCAAAAAAATTATATTTAAATAGAAATATTTTTCAATAAAACATTTAATCGATAGACTTAAAATACAAAAACTTTTTGTTTTAAAGAGAAATTAAATCATTTATTTCTATACTTTATCATTTATATTAATTTGATAGTTTGTCATAGTTGTAAACATAGCTTATTTCGGTTTTTATATCTAAAAATAAATTTTTATATAATTCATTTTTAGATATAAAATTATTTATTGAAGAATGCGTTTTACTTAACATTCACAACCAGTTGGTAAAAAACATGTTTTAAACATGTTTTAAACAGTTTAAAACATGTTTAATTGATGTTTTTAGTATGTTTTAAACATGTTTTTTTATAGTACTGTTTAAAGCATATTTAAAGCATTAAAAACATATTTAAGAAGAAACACAATATGTTTTATTAATAAAAAAAACATTAGTCTTTACCAACCCTGTTCACAACCCTCACGAGCATCGTTTCATCCTTGCCATAAAATATTAAACAAAGATGAAATAATGCACGCGAGGATTGCCAATGTTAAATGGAACGCACGCTAATTAACAAAAGAAAAGTTTCCAGATATTTTGCTAGAATTTTTATTGTGAAATAGTAGTGATGAGTGAACAGGAGCTTTAAGTTTAAATTAGTTTTAGTTTAATAGTCTCGAAGTACTATATCTTTATTGTGTTGTTTATATGTCATCTAATATACATATCTATTCTTAACGTGATGATAACCATAAATTCAAAGAAGATTCAACACTTTGAATTCGGTGTTACGAAAACTGATTATAGAGGAAGATCTGGTAGAAAGAAAAATATTAAGTCGCTTTTTCGTGGAAGCTGTAGGCAAATTGCAAATAAGATTTAAAAAGCATTCTTTGCAGATTTAAAACATAATAGATAAAATTTGTCAATTTTACCAAATCTTGGTAATTCAATATCTTCGATATTATAAACTGTATGAAACAGAATATTCTTAAATTATGTTGTACAAATAATAGTAATAATTCATTTATATATAACTATAGAAAGGCGAGAGATACAGCGCGTAAGTAACATGGTATTATACATTTCGATTTTGATATTAGCACTTTTCGGCCGAACAAAAATTTATCATCTTTTTTTTTTTAAGTAAATTGACGTTAAATTAGTGTTAATTGAATTAATTTTTATTAACGTATAATGTATTTGTAAAGGATATTGAGGACGATTATCAGGACAAAAAGAACCAATAAAACTGGGCCAATAAAATAAAATATTTTTTCAAAAACATGACTGCCCGTCTGCACGCTTTTGATAATTTCATTATTCAATTCAAAGACTATTTTACTTTCTTCGATAAGTTTATTTTTCGTGTCCTCATCCAACGTCTCCGCGATTCTGTTCATCGATTCGCGTAATTCACGCTTTAACTGAAATATACTGTTCTGCCCAAAGTCTGTGACGTTATTACCATCGCTCGACGGTTGCGCTTTGAAAGGCGAAATCTTTTGTACGATCTGCCTTTTTTTGCGTAGAATAATACCACCGCTGAGGAGACCCATGTAAAGATGATAAATATATGCCATTAATAAAGTGGGATCCGTGTCTTCCACTTCTCTCAAACGCATCAGATATTTGGCGACGCTATCCCTAAAGTTTATAAAACAGACTTTTAGGATTAAGATTTCTTTTCTGTAATAATTACTATTACCAATTATATCAATTATACTATTGTAAAAGACTGATATCTCTACTCATTGTAAGCGTAGGAAAATAAAGCGATTTTATTTTCACAACATTATCATATGGTTATTGTATGCAATTTTTGTACCTAGGACTGTAGTTTTTCCTCCATCCTTTTCCCAAATAATGATCAAGATCGCGCTCGAAAGCCTCTGTACGTTGAAGCTCACTGAGTGGAAGCAATCCAATTTTGGTGTTTCTTAATCTAATCATTGCACCCTCCAGGTAGCGAAAGACCTCGTAGAAAACCAGAAGCCCGTCAGCCCATACAGAATCGTCGAGGAACCCTAGTTGTAGAGTATTGTAATCATTACATTGGAACCAGATTTTTTGTTGCATGAAACAGGTTAATAAAATCGTATATAGCATTTAGATATACAAAGCATTCAACGTCAAGTCGAGTATTTATTCTTCAGACATTAATATACTTGTCAAGTATAATACTAGAAGACTTAAGACCAATATTCATAGTCGATTCTTATATTTAAGACTGTCTCAGTCTTAAAATATCATAAACTATGGTTAATGTGACTAATATGTAACATGACTAATATGTTAGTATCTTAAGACATTGCTTAAGACGATCTTAAAATAAGGACGGACTATTAATACTGGCCTTAAAAATTGTCAAATAGTGACCATCAAAAGCACAAACAATGAGTGCTATATATAGAACATATGGAAGAATAACGCAATGTTTATCATGCTTTTGTTATCTTGCTGATACATCTTTGTCTTTGCTGCAGTAGGCAACCAAGCTGCAGCTTATATTATGAAATTCAAATAAAACGGCCGATATTTACGATATCTCGAGAAAGCCTGACGGTATCTCGCGATCCTTACCGAATGCCAGTTTCGCGTTCACCAGGGTATCGCTGATTGCGTGTATTCCCCTGGTCGCTTTTGACATTTTCTTGCAAAAGTTCTCCTCCTCCGGCATTTCGGCGGGGTGATAAGGGAACGTCGGGAAATGCGTTTATCGTGCGTCGTAAGATGTGCGTACTTAGTGCCGCTTCAGGTCTCACACCATTACACGACCGGGTTCCCGCGCACTTCCGCGGGCTGTCACGTGAAAATCGACGTCGTGAAAACACTGCGCCCGCAACATCGACGACCATCCCCGGCCGCCCCTGCGCACTGACGCAGTCACGTGTCCGCACTCCGCACTCCGCCGCAAAGCTGTCGGCGCCGTCGCCACGAGATGTCGATTTTGTCCATCGGCGCGAAACCGTCGTCCCATTCGAGTCACGCAAAAGCCGAACTAATTAACGATATCAATTATTGTCAATTTCAGTACCAAAACACAAGGATTAGCTTTCAATTTTTTTGATTTTTCCTATACTTTTTATTTTACGAAGTTGAATTTGATTTTTGAGACGTTTCGTTTGAAACAGGAGATCCGAAAAATTGCGCGATCAAATAATTATTCGGACAGTTCTAAGTCGAAATGTTTGGGTTTTATGGCTGTTCTACAATGTGCTTTTTGTTTCCTGTTTCTTGCTGTTTGTTTCTGTTTGTCTCTTGCCTTTTTGATCAAGAAGCAGCAAGAAACAGGAAACAAAAAGCACATTGTAGAACAGCCATTAAGCTCTAATGATTTGTTAATTTAATTAAAATCCAGTCAAAGATGCATTGAAGAAAATTTGAATAAAAATATCTACTATTTTTATTATAAAACAGAAAATAGACGGTCTTCCTTTTAGGCCGAAAATGAGGTCTAATTGATCGGATAGTTCAATATTGAAAGAGAAAATTTCAAAATACATTTTTTCGAATTTAGCTGTAAAAACATCAAAATTCTCCTTCACAAAGCACGAATATCTAACATATAACATATATAATATAAAGTGGCGCGATGTCAAGTACATCTTTTTTATCTTCGTAAAGTCTTTTTTATAAGATTAGTTATTTATAAAATATTTTCAAGATAAATTATTCTTGCATTTTTATATAAAACTTTGAATCTTGTGAAGATTTTTTAAATAGAAATATTTTTATCGTTTATGTTATTTTATAGCCATAACTTTATTAAAATTACGCCATTTTTTAACAAAAAACGCGTCAATATTTGAACGAAAAGTTTAAAAGTTAAAAGAGACAAAAATAACCGAAAAATCAGTATTTAATATTAAATACCGTTGAAATTTCAATTTTGCAATTTTGTAAATATTTACTCGATACGAATTAGTTTGCGAATTTTTTAAATTATGACGTATTTTACGAGCATTTTATTTACAATTAAATTATATGAAATATTTAATGGTGGGAAGGCAACAATCTTAGAAAATAGGTTCATCGAATTAATAAACTAATTACATAATAAAAATTAAATAATCGATATAAAAGAAGAACAACCATCTTTCAAACTCAACTCTTACTCTTTTACTCTTTAGATCAGCCATATTAATTTTGTTTTTTATTTTATTCTCCCTCTTTCCATAATTTTTATACATTTTATCTCGCGGTGAACTGGCTCCTAAAGTCATCGATCGCCGATTAATCATGCTGATTGATCGCGCACACGATAAGATGCATCTCTTCTCTGCTTTAAATCTCTCCTTGCAACCTTTTTCTCTCCTCTCTCTTCTTCCTCGCTGCGGATCGGCGCGACTGATTTTATTTTACGTGCAGAAGATGCGATCTGAAAGCAAGATGCGGTAAATCGTTCCATCATGGACAATAAGAGGCAGCTGCCGAAATGCATCGTCCATATGGAATTCGCAGCGGCGCGTTTCGTATTCGGGACGCCGAGCGTGCGCGCGTGCATTCCGCGGTGTCGCGCTCACTTCATCGTCGCGCGGCAAGGAATCCGCGCGGACCGCAAGATGTCGAGCTGCCGCGCAACGTAGTAGGAAAGCATGACTCGTTCGCTGGTAGGTATCCCCTCGACGCGACGTCTCGACGCGCGTTCGCCCGCAATGACGTGGTGGGTCATGTCGATAACGGGTGCACTCCATGGGAGCGACGCGACGCGACGCTGGGCGGACACCCAGCCAGCTGCCCGCCGTCGGCCGTCGGACACACGCACGCTCGCACGCTCGTACGTACGTACGTACGTAAGTGCGCACGTGTGCACACCCACGCATGTCCCGCGGTCGGCGTAGTGGAGCAATGGAAGAGTCCGTTGACCTTCGCCGAGGACGTGCCCATGTCCCCAGGCCGGGTCACACTCGAAACTTGCATTCGCAGGGGAACATGTTCGAGCGGGATCAGACCGGGCACGTGGCGACCGCCAGCGTTCGATGAGCACTCCTCGGTGGAAAGGAAGTGGGCCGTGCACACTCCTTCTCTTTTCACTGCCTCCGCAGTGGTGGA